TTTTTTAGGCTTTTAATTTCAAATGAAGGGGCTTGCGTCAGCCCCTTCTTGACGTTCCTACAAGGTGGAACTCGACTTTCACGATGCTTGAACGCCTTTTCTTGTTCCAAACTTTCTGTGAGAAGCACGTTAGTGAGTCGCTTCAACTGTCTGAAGCAGATTGGAAAGATATTCACGAACTGGTCGAAGCGTTACAGCCAATTTATATTGCCACACAAAAGCTACAGATAGAGCAGCTATATCTGGGCGATTTCTATAAGATGTGGTTAGAGCTTACGTTAACAATTAAAGCCATGAAGAACTCACATAGTGCAGCACTACAAGAGGCAATTGGGAGAAAAGAAGAGGCTTTAACGTCGAACGAATTGGTTACTTCAGCCATCTATTTGGATCCCAGGATGCGAAGGGTTTTGCTTAAAAATCCATTAAAAATAATACTAGCGAAGAACCATTTGACTAAACTTTACAGGCAAATAAATGGAATTGCAAAAAAAGTAAGTAACTTAAAGAATGTAGAATGCAATTTTTTTCGTAATTATTTGAATCTATGTTTACACTGTTAATTGCAGGACGATCTATTACCAGCTATAAGCTTAGATTCGCCAGAGCCCACAGCGCATGAATTTGACCAGCCTTCCACAAGCCAATTTTCGAGCGCGTCACAAAGTACTTGCTCATTACTAAATGATTTCCTCAATTCGATTGAGGTTGCTTCAGGCAATGAGGAGTCAGATGAAGAGGAGGAAAATGATGTTCAGCTTGCCATAAACGAAATCAACAATTATTGTCCGAAGCCAATTGACATTAATGCGAATATTATGGATTATTGGGAAGAAAAGAAATACATATATCCCCGCTTATATGAATTGGCAATGGCACAATGTATGATTGTGTTCCCGCATCACAAGTCAGCGTTGAAAGGGCATTTTCGGGACTGAAACTTATACTATCGGACTTGCGCTGCAATTTGTCCGCAAGTTCTATAAAACAACTTATGTTTTTAAAACTAAATAAATATTGAATAGACTCACAATTTCCATTTCTTTTTTCTTTTATAGTGGGTGTTTGGGATTTTTGGGATTTGGTGTTATGGGTTTTTTTGGCAAAGTAATGCAACGCATGGTACTGCATCATATTATGAAAGCTAAAAACTAAATATAAAGGAAAATAGTGAGATTCTTAAAATTCGTCCTTGAAGGACATGCGATGCATCACATGAAAGGTATTTTCTCAAGGATCAGGAATATACATACACTCATGATAACAAACCACTCAGTTGGAAGGATACTCAATTTAACTTTTATTTTTAACTTTTAAAATAAAAGTTACGGTATAACTATATATTTCAACTTTTAAAATAAAAATCAAAAATAACTCTTATTTTTGATTTTTTTTATGAAAATCATAATTAATTCTTATGTTTGATTTTAAAAGTATAAATTAAAAATAACTCTTAATTCTGATTTCTATTGAAAAAATTAAAAATAAGAATTAAAAATAATTTATAATATATAAATCGTAAATAGAAGTTTTTGGCTGATATTGATAGCCATGACTGAAATATAATTTTCGGTATATTTTATGTTGCTGTAACATATATCCTTTACAATGATTTATTTACTTGAATTTAACCTTCATAACTGTTATTTGCGGTCCCTGCTAGAAACTTTATTCCTTTGTTCCTTCCCTTTTGTAGGTCAACTTATTTCGTGCATGAACCATTTAGGGTCATATGCTCGGAATTCAATTCCCTTTACCATATAATATCCACCACTAATTCCCTTCCTCTTCTTAAATCACTAATACTAACATACCTTTGCTGTAATTAGTACAATTTATTAGCTATCTTTGCATGTTTAGCTCTTTGAGTTGTGTTTAACTCCGCATTTTCCACTTATTTTACTTAAACAGCCGGTGTTTTATCTTTAAATTAACTCTCTAACTAACTTACCTTAAAATCAATCTTTACCGCGGGTGCATGGTTAATAATTGTGTAAAAACACAACTTATTTAATTAATTTTGTACGTCGGTTAGTCGTGTGTTTCTTTTGTTGCTTTTCGTAAGTACCCCCTCTCATTAGATTTAGCCGCTCTTTGTCGTAGTTATTGCCGTCTATCACTCTCTCTTTATCACCTAACTCTCAATAGCTGTTCTTTCTCTCTCACTCTCGTAACTTTCTGTGCAGTAACGATCTCACTGATAAGCTGTTGCTCCAACCACTCTCCTCTCTTATCTTATTTTTACCGATTTCGCTTTACCATCGCTCTAAGCATTTTCTCTACACATTGGTCTGATTGCGCTATTTGTTTTCACTTTTTTTTCTCGAAATAAAAAAAAATTAAAAGACATTATGGAGTTTGCTGTCGTCTGTGCCAAAAAAACCTGCAAGAAGCCGATCATGACCAACCCATGATATCCCTTGTGTAGGAGATGCCACGATTGGTGAAAATCAAAAAGTTCAGCTGAGGTTGATATATTTGGTTAACTAGTTCGCAAAAACTTGTGCAGGTTTTTGTACTGCCAATAACTGATTAATGACGATATGAATGGTATCAATATATATGCAATAGATTTCACCAATTATCCAACTCATTCGTCAAAATTTTTTTTTTGTATTTTCTTGATTAAATTTTTTTGTAAAAGTTGGTAGCAACCTCTAAAAAATTTTAAAAAAAAACATGTAAATTACTATTAAATCCAAGGTAACAAAACTAGGGGGTGTCCCGTTTGAATTTCGAAAAAAAAGTTTTTGGCCCAGCCTAATGTACATGCTTAGCCTTTCTCTCGAGATTTCTGGGCTCAATGATGGTTGGTTTTGTCCATTTATCTTCTGATCCGTGCAAGAATAATGGTCCGTATAGCATAGTATCCAGCACTGCGGAATCGAAAAATTCCTGTCAAACTTTATATAAAAAAAACTGTGTCAGGAATGTTTCGTTTACGTATTTCTGGAGTGTGTATCCATCAACACGAGCGGAATCCACAGATTTATATCGATAGTTGCCAATCGGGACTGTGTGTGGACTGAGAGAACAGCTGATGCACAGCTCAGGAATATAGATTCTTCCTGAAGAGAATGGTGCAAGATGTAGGCAAGAACTGTGCGCAAAACCAAAAAGAGAGATGAAAATTATTCTTTTTTATTTTGCAACAATATATGCCGCCACCAACACAATCACTTCATCATCAGAGTGCATATTTTTCCTTTTTTAATTTTAGCAGAATTTTACAGTTGGCACTGTTTACAAAACACAGCTGATTCATCAACCTTGTTTTAGCTATGTTCCACACCCTCACGGAATAACTAGCAAATTCATGGCAGGAATTTTCCGTGGTGCTGGAGACAGGCCTTATAGCCATAGACTATGATTCCTTAGCTTGCTTGCTAGGATTTCTCTTGAAAGGGCATCTGCTGCGTTGTTGGCTAATGAAACATGACACCATTGTAGTTGGTTAGTCAATGCCTGGATTTTGGCGATACGATTTGCCACGAAGGTGTGGTATGTGGACACCGATGCGTAAATCCAGGACAGTTCAACGGTGGAATCAGTCCAGAAGCTTCCTGATACTATGTCAAGGTTCATATGGAGATCCCTTCTAACTCGATTGGTGAGTTCGGCACATAAAACTGCAGCGCACCGTTCTAGACGTGGTAGGGATTGTTTGGCGGTGGGTGCTACTCGAGACTTTGAGCATAATAGTCGTTCAGAGACCTGATTGTTTTTGTAGGTGCCGCGCCATATTCTCGTTCCGATGCGTCTACAAAGGTATGTAGATCCTGGGTGACTGGTACTTATCCATCATATAAGTGCCGGGGAATCTCCATTGAGTTTAATGATTGTAGGTCCTCCCGGTACTCCTTCCATTCGTTTTGGAGTTGTAATGTCAGTTCATCGTCCCAATCGAATTTAACCTCCCACAGTTGTTGCATAAATATTTTTGCCTTGACTATCACTGGGGCAAAGAGACCCAGTGGGTCAAAGATTTGGGCCAATTCTGATCACACGACCCTTTTGGTGAAGCGTGTTGCTTGGCCTTTTGTGGTTCGTCCTCGCAGTTGGTCTCGTTTTGGCATCCAAATGAGACCCAGCGTTTTCACGCTGTGTTGCTCTAATGTTTCACCTAGTTTGACGTCGTTGACAACGTCCTCTTTGGGTGATTCCTTGCAATATCTTGTCGTTGTTGGAGCACCGTTTGCGAAGTTTAAGCCCGAACGGTAGCAATATTTTATTAAGTTCTTGTTGAACTTGTATCGCTTCCTGAATGGCATCCGCGCCAGTGAGACAGTCGTCCACATAGAAATCGTTCTTCAATGCAGCAGATCCAATAGGTAATCTGTTTTGGCTCCGAGCTGCCAAATGATCCAGACATTTCATTGCCAGGAATGGAGCAGATGTGATTCCATATGTGACTGTTTTTAAGCGATAGTGGCCGTCAGCCATTCGGGTGATACAGGGGGACTAGGGGTATGACCAATTCGGGTCAGTGCTTGCCCTGATCCGATGCAGCCTTGCTCCTGGTTTCTAGGATGCGGGAGGATCAAGAGCGACCCGTCACCCGCCGTAACTATACACACCAGTGGAAGTGCGACTATACTCTTCTCGTGAGAGCGGCTGGAAACAGGTCCTGGTACGTCAAGTCGCTGCCACGGATGCTGGCTAATTGTAGTCGGGCGGAGAGAAGAAAACTGTCGTAGTGAAATTACCTCAATCCACGGTGAAACAGGATATGCTAATGGATGCGTGGCAGAGGGGAGCTCGGTGTTGTATATGCGAACTCTGGATACCTTCCGACCTCCAGTTTAAATTAGGCTTCCCGGGGCAAGCGGGCTATGCCTCGGGCGACTATCCCCTTCCCGCGTACTCGTGGGACCAAATATGCCCAATTCTAAGTATCTTAAAACAACCAGAAAGGAGCTCGGTACTCCTCCTAAAGTACCGTCGTAGGGAGAAGCCAATCCCTCTACATCAACGTCGGGGAAAAAGGCTCTAAGAAGACGATGAAGGAGACTCAGTCGGTCCGCCGTCTTCTAGCAGCTATCGATGCGAGGAGGGCTCCGATAAGCCAATCGGGCCCATCCACGTCGGGGGGCACCGGGGGCAAACCGGTTATCGGTGTTGCTGCTAAGCAGAGCGTAATCGCGGCTGGAAAGCGCCCTGTGACTGGGGAACCCCCGTCAACCTCGGCAGGCGGAGGTACTGCACCATAGGGGAAGAAGCCGTCCAATCAAGACAGGAGGCGCGCCGCTTTCATCCTGTCCAACGACGACCCGGATTTCAAGTCGTCGGAAAAGGGGTTGGAGCAGAGGCTATTGGCCAGTTCGATAATCCCGGATTTCCAGCCAGCCAAAGCCGGAAAGGGTGCAGCCAAGGCCCCGACCAAGCGGCAACGCTCAGCGGAGGATCCCGCTATACAGCCAGGCCAAGCCCAGCAAGCCAAGCGAGCGAAAACCAACCCGTCGAACAGATCGTTCGCTGAGGTGGCGAGGGACAAGACCCTAATTGGCGTCCTGGACAGGGGCACCAAGGACGGTAATGTCCCTCGGGACAAATGGCATCTGGTCGATGCAGAGCTCCAGGAAAGATTTCTGGAGGGGCTCGAGGAGAATGGCGGGCCACCATCTAAATTTGAGGACGCCGGGTGGCATCAAGGCACGGTGAAAGCCATCGCCTGCCAAGATGCTCGCTCGGCGGCCCTCTACATGAGAGCAGTGGCGGCGCTCAAGGAGGTCTACCCAGGAGCCAAACTGGAGGCCGTCAAATGGGAAGACATCCCCAGCAGACCGAGGGCCAGAGCGTGGGTCTCGGTGAAGCTTGCAGAGCCGGAGAAGATCCTGAAGGTTCTGCAGGTCTGCAACCCCCACCTTCCTACAGCCGATTGGAAGGTGGCCAAGGTGGATGAGGTTACTGGACAGAGGCGCCAGATAATCCTCGTTCTCAATGAGGAGTCTCTCGGACTCCTGAAGAAGTCGGACGGAGTAGTGGACTATGGCTACCGGAAGGTGACCATAGCCCCCTAAAAATCCTACTCTAAGGGCATGCAAGCAGAGATCCAGCCAGATCTCGAGCTGCCAGAGGTCCCGGGAGTGGAAAGCCAAGCCGCGGCGTCGGACGTAGCGTCTGAGATATCGGAAGACATCCTGGCCCGCTACGAGTCGGATGCAAGCGACCTAGCCAGATATCAACATCGATATCGGAGAGGACACGGAGTCCACCGAGAGTCCACGGAGATGCCGACGACACAATGGTGGAGGTGAGTCTCAGGAATGTTCCTGACACTCCTGCAGATAAACCTCCATCATTGTAAGGCAGCATGCGCTGCCCTACTGCTCCACTTAGCCAAGGTTGGAGCCGACTTAGTCCTCATTCAAGAGCCCTGGATCCTCAGAAACAGGGTCTCCGGTCTGAGGACTCAAGACTATAAGCTATACGTAGCTGACACCACAGGTGAAACCCGTACCTGCATTCTTGCAAAAAGAGAGTTACACTTATTTTTGCTCCCAAATTTCAGCAACGAAGACCACACAGCGGTGAGCCTCGAAGGCCAGGAGAGCTCACTGAGGATGTGCTTCACATACATGGCTCACGACCAACCTGACCCTCCTCCACACGCGCCCCTAAGGGCTCTCATCGCAGACTGCGAGGCCAAGGACATCGGCCTAATTGTGGGATGCGTTGCCACCACACACCACAGTCAGTGGGGAAGCACTGACATCAATGAACGGGGTAAGTCCCTTTTCAGCTATATACTGACCACTAAGGTAGTCTTATTAAACCGGGGAACGATCCCACCTTTATTATTAAAAATCGCGAGGAGGTCCTGGACTTCACACTTGCCTCTCATACGATACAGAATAACATAGTATCCTGGAGGGTCCTTGAAGAACACTCCTTCTCGGACCACAGGTACGTGGAAACTGTTTTCTCATTCTCCATACCGAGCCCAGTCCAATTCCGGAACCTCAGGCGGACAAACTGGACTCGTTACTCAGACCACCTGAGCCGTATTCTCCCTGAGTACCCCCGGGGAAGATATCTCACGGGAGAACACGACCAATCTGGTGAAAACATTTACCGACGCCTGCAATGCGGCGCTCGACAAATCCTGTCCCCCTAGTATATCTAGGGACCGGAAGAAGCCTGAATGGTGTACTCCGAAACTGGGGGAACTCCAGAAAGCCTCCCGGAGACTCTTCAACAGAGCCAAATCTCTAAATGTTGAGCAGAACTGGTCCGAATACAAGGTCAGTCTGTAAACCTATATCAAGGAACTTAGGAAATCCAAACGCGCCTCATGGCGTAAGCTCTGCAGTGAAATCGAAAGTAACTCCGAAGCTTCACGCTTGCGAAAAGTACTATCGAAGTCGACTCCAACGTTGGGTTACCTGAAGAAAGCCGATCAGTCATGGACGACGTCCAGCAATGAATCGCTTAACCTTCTCCTCAACACACGCATCCCAGGCTGCGTTGTAAACAGACCAAACTACAACGCACCTCCTTCTGTTGCCTCAAGATCCATTCTAAACCTGCTGAGTCAAGAGAACATATCCTGGGCAATTAAAAGCTTTAAGCCATACAAGTCTGCGGGAACAGATGGCATCATTAGCCCAACTGATTTACGTCGGACAGAGGGCCATAAATTGTCTTAAACAGATTTACGAGAGAGTCTTCTCTCACTGACAAATCCCAGACACATGGCTTCAGACCAAAGTCGTTTTTATACCCGAGGCAGTTAAACCCTCGCACACTGCCCCCGAAGATTTTAGACCAATAAGTCTTTCGTCCTTTCTTTTAAAGACGATGGAACGGCTTTTATGGATGGATTCTCAGCACGCCTATCGGAAAGGAAGATCCACCGAGACGACCCTACACCCGATCACATCGATCATTGAAACGTCCCTTAATTGTAAGGAGTACACACTTGACATAGAAGGCGCTTTTAACAACATCGTCCTGATCGCAATCACGGGTGCACTGACGGACCTGGGGACTGATTCCCGGACGGTGAGTCTCATCGATCAGATGCTTCGATGCAGGACCGTTGAGGCCTCACTGGGGACGTCAACTTCCACCAGGTTTGTCAGCAGAGGTACGCCGCAGGGCGGAGTCCTCTCGCCCCTCCTATGGAACGTAGCAGTAAATGAACTGCTGCGAGAGATAGAGGGGGGTGGTGGGTGGATGTCACGTGGTGGCGTACGCTGATGATGTGCCATAGCATTCTCAGGGATATTTCCACAGACGCTATGAGAGTGCATGAAAAGCACTCTCATAAAACTGTCCCAATGGGCAGACAAATGCGGGCTAGATGTTAATCCGTCCAAAACGGAACTAGTACTCTTCACCAGGAAGTAAAAGATTCCGACACTGATTCCCCCAAAAACTCTGTGGGCAAGCGGATCTTGGTCTGATCCTCGATAGGAAGCTCGATTGGAAAGTGCGCATAGAGGATAGGGTAAAGAAGGCCACTGTGGCCCTCTATACCTGCAGAAAAACCATCGGACTCAAATGGGGAATGGGGAATATGGCTATATACCGCTAATGTACGGAGTGGTTGTATGGTGGCCAGCACTGGACAAGAAAACTTGTCTTGGCAAACTCAGCCGTGTCCAACGCATGGCAGAGCTATACATAACGGGCGGACTACGCACAACCCCCAAGCGAAGCCCTCGATACCATGTTGTACCTTCTCCCTGTAGAACTCATGGGGGAAAAGGTGGCAACTCTTTCCGCTCTCAGAATGAGAGAATCCAAACTCTGGAAAGCATCCACGTTTGGACACTCGGGAATCTTGACGAGACTCCCGCAACTATCGGAGGGGACAGATTACTGTATACCGAGTGATCACCTCTCGACTCCCTTCCAGGTATCAATCCCACTCAGGGAGGACTGGGAGAGGGGTGAACCTGGACCAGCAAATGCGATCCACATATACACTGATGGCTCAAAGTTAGACGGCCGTGTATGTGGTGGCGTCTACTGTAAAGAGCTCAGCATTAGTCATTGTTTCAGACTCCCGGATCACTGTAGTGTGTTCCAAGCGGAGGTTGAAGCAATAAACGAGTCTATTTCTATCGTCTCCAAACTTTTTTTAGACAGACACTCAGTGTGCGTCTTCTCAGACAGCCAAGCAGCTCTCAGAGCACTTGGCTCAATATCGTCAAACTCAACGACTGGCAACATAAGCCGCAGGTCTCTTTAGATCTCTCCCTAATATGGGTTCCTGGACACAGGGATATCCACGGGAATGATGCTGCCGACGAACTAGCCAGGCAAGGTGCTACCACACCTCTCCTACCGGAGAATAAGCAAGTAGCAATGCCTTTGGCTACGTGTAAGCTACTAACGCACGAAGCCTTCGAGCTAATTGTCGACAGACGATGGCAGCAAACCATCACCTGTAAAACCTCCAGGTCGATCTGGCCAAGTCGATTGAAGAAACGCTCGGAAGAGCTCTACAAACTCAGCATAGTACAGTGCTCTACCGTCATCCGAGCCATCACGGGACACTGGCAGATCGGCACACACGCTGCCAGACTGTCAATCCCTCATAACGACTTCTGTAGAAGCTGCAGGGACGAGGAGGAGGAGGCGGTCACCCACTTCTTCTGTCACTGTCCGGCCCTGGGAAACCGTAGGCTATGTCTTCGGGCTCCCTTCCTCACCGACATTTCGGACCTGTCCGAAATCAGACCAGGGATATTGTCCAAATACATCCAAGCCACCGGAAAGGATTGCCCTTAACTCCGCAATCGGATTGCTCACCACGGTGTAGGGGAGAAGGGGTACACACCCATGCGGCATTACAACGGTCCTGCAGCAGGACCAAGTGCGTTGGGGTGGGGGGGATTTCCCCCTCTCCACAACTACCGCCTAACCTAACCTAACCCAAGCGATAGCACCTGGTATCTTCAGATGGATTGTTTCTCCAGACTATCATCTGATGAAATTGATCCTCGGGATTTATCCACACTTGTCGGTACATTTTCTCGATGTCCGCTGTGAATACCTAATTATGTGAACGAAAACGTAGTAGAATGGACATAAGTTCACTCTGAGTTGTGGGTCCGGCATGCAGAATGTCGTTTAAAGACATTCCGTTTGTTGATTTGCATGATGCATCAAAAACGACCCGTAACTTTGTGCTGGTGCTCTCAGGTTGCTGTGATCATCTTCATGTGTCCAAGTCCTTCATATTCATTCATGAATTCTACGAAGCCTTTCCAGGTGTCTGGTGAAATCCGTCGCTCTAATGCCAGGAATCTTTTCGTTTCCAAAGTTTGACTATCAGCCTGCCATCCGATGCTGTTTGTAAGTTCTCTATAAAGTGAGCTTCGCAATGTGCTTCGATTGGCGTGCGTGGTTTTTCTTCCGCGTCTAAGTTGTCCAGAGTCCAGAATTTTTCCATTAGCTCGTTGAGTCCAATTGCACAAATGGATGCGGAGTTGTGTGCAGACCTGATTTTTCCTGCCACAATCCATCCCAATTTTGTATTTTGCAGCAACGGGCCTCCTGAATTTGGCTGTTTTTCATCTGGGAGTAGTAGCGAATAAAAGTGCTCTGCTCCGATGAGCATGTCGACTTTTCCCGGTTTATAGAAATCCGGATCTGCCAGTGGGCAATTGTTTGGTATGTTCAAGTTCATTTCATTGAGTGCCTGCGCTGGTTGATCAGCAATTATCTGAGGTAGTACGAATGCTTCAATTCTTTGCGTAAATCCGCCGTGAAGGGATTTTATTCGAACATTTACTCGTGGTCTGCTGGTCTTTAACTGAACTCCAATTCCTTCGACGCGTAATGTTGTATCATTAAGTTTTACTGACAACATTGATGCCATTCGTTTAGAGATTAGGTTGATCTGTGATCCTGAATCCAGCAAGGCTCTGAAATTGGTTCTCTGTCCATTGTTTGCTTCTACTGCTACTTTTGCTGTAGCTAACAGGCTGTAATTATTGTTACTTGCTGCGCCAACCGTCGGTGCTCTTGGTTCTGTACTTACGCCCGATGGTATGTCCAAGTGCAGCAGTGTATTGTGTTTTTTGTCGCATTTGAAACATGTCCGACCTGGGCATGCATTTGTTTTGTGGCTTGTTTTAAAACAGTTGTCACACAATTTCTGCTTTTGTACCCAATTTAGTCGTTCTGATGGTGATTTGGAGCGAAACTCATCGCATCCGTAGAGCCAATGGCTTGCCTTCTTGCAGAATGAGCAGAGAGGCGTCTTCGATTTTCCAGTGTTTACTGTTGCACATGTTGTGCCTTTTGGCTCTTTCCTTGACATTTGTGTCTTTTTGCCTGTTCCTAGAACTCGAACTCTTTGTTCTAGGAACTGAAGCATTGTGTCCAAGGCCTGTATTTCCTTTGAGCTTCCCAATGATTGCTCGTACAAGGCTCTGTTAGTGACATCCAGCTTATTTTTGATGACGGCAATCAATATTGGATCCCATGTGGATATGTTGATGCCCAATCCCTTTAGTGATGCCAGGGATTCGATAGTTGTAACGTACAACTCTTTTAATGACTTGGAGTCGTCATTAACTGTGTTATAATTTAGGAAGCGGTTTAATACCGTGCTAGCGACGTCTCTGGGATTGTTGTATGTATCAATCAGAATTTCCCAGGCGCTCTCATAATTTTCTTCCTTTAGATCGATATGTCGGATCAATCTTTCTGCCTCTCCAGTTACGGTTGTTTTTTGATACCACTGTGGGCATGTTTGTTTTATGTAT